GCTTCTAGAGATCCGAGGTTGGGTGCTGAGGCTTCAGCCCGGCTTCCCTCAGGCCAGCTCACCACTAGCGATCCAGCTGCCCGCCCTGTGTCATGCATGGTGGTCCTGCCACATCCCTCCCTCCCTCCAACTCCGCAGTCTGCGCTGGCACAGCTCAGCAGCACCAGCCTCCCTCCCATGGTACTGACCCTGGGCACTAGATGACGTTTCAGCTACAGAGGTATCACTCTATCACTCTCCCATCTGCCTCCAACATGCTGCATTTGACATGAACTAACGTCTCCTATTAACACTGCAAGAAACAGATCTGGGAAAACTCATTTTCAAGCAGAGTTCAGACAGGCCACAAGGACAGAAACCCCCCCAAAGGAGTGGGGAGAAGCCAGCGCCAGCACGACGCCCCTGGGAAGACCTACCGGCAAGGGGTTGAAGTTCTGGTCCACCAGGTGGTTGTGGCCGTGGTCGAGGAAGGAGTGCCGCACCACCACGTCAATGCCCTGGCTGGCCAGCAAGCCCAGTGTGTTCAGCCACCTGGGGATGGAGTGAGCAGAGTTAGGCCACTGCAGGGGGATCACCCATGCTCCAGCACATGGCATTGCTCTCATGCACCCGGCCTGGAGCCTGGCACCTGAGCTGAAGCCTTCAGATGGTTTTATGTCTGCGCCCACCATCTCAGCAGGGGGGACCGGACCTTTGCAAAACTCTGTCTCCTCACACCCCCTGGAGCAGTCTTCAATCCTTGCAGCCTGCAACAGCCCTGATACCCTGAGCACTTCCCCGTGGCTCCCTGCAAAGCCTGGATAATCTTCTCCATCTTTCGTGATCATGGCCAGCTCTGAATATCTGAACTGGGGCTTTGTAGCAGGACGCCCGTGCCACAGGCCTGTGCCAGTAATGTAGCCCCAGGAGCCAGGAATGGTTGTGGCTTCGCAGAAGGAGAGAAAACGGTTTCCAGAGCAGAGCCCTGCTGAGCGCTTCCCTGAGCAGGTGCTCTGGGAATGAATGCATGCAAGGACACATGGCTGCAGCCTGAACTAAAAACACAGAGCGGAAGGGGGCCTGGGTGATGCCAAGCTGCTGAGCAAGGCACGCCTGTCGGGATGACAGCTCTGGGGTTCCAGTGTGCTTGGATCACAGCTCCCTTCCACACCCATGCCCTGCAGGCACACTGTGGGTACTGGTGTGGGATCCTGTGTGGTCCCCTCCTTACCCACACCCATACCCATACCCATACCCATACCCATACCCATACCCCTTCTTTGGGTATGCCAGAGGCTGGGTGACCTACAGGAAAGTGGATCTGAAGGGGGGGTAATAGAGATGCTACAGAGAAAATAACGATGCCAGGGCTTCTGGGGAGTACCAACGGTGGTACAAGTGGGGTCTGTGGGCACAGAGCTGGCCCCTCCCAGCTGCAGTGGCTTTGCAGCACCCAAGCCCACAGAGCCCGTTGGGGTGGCAGTGCCCTGGTGCTGGCGAGCTGGCATAACTCACAGGAATCCAGCTGCATAGGAATCGGAGAGGTTGTTCATGTCCCCAGCTGAGGTTGCACCAACACCTTCCAGCCAGATCTTCTTCCCTGGTGTGTACGTGTTCACTACCTGCGTGGGAGACAAAAGCAGCCAAAATAACTCGCAAGAACTTATGATTTAAAGCCAAGGCGGACATCTCCTGTGGTACGCTCTGGGAAGGCTTACGGAGACCTTTGGTAAAGGTGCTACTGCACAGTCAGTGCCTGCCTGGCCCTGGCATGGTCACTAGGTGTCTTCACCATGGCTGAGTGGTAGAAGACTGTTCCTCACTCTCTCCTGCCACTGCTACATGTCCACTACCCATCTTCTGGAGTGGCTCCAAACACGCTCTCCCAAAAGTACTCTCATGCTCCCTTTTTTTTCCTGTGATCTCCCCATGCACTCCATCCTGCAGGCCGCCCTGCCACATCACCTCAGATCTCCATGTCCCCATACAAGGTGGGTGTCAGACACGGGGAGCACCCCAGCCCCAATTCCTCTGCAGTGTGGGAGCACTGGGACATGTACTGGAGCCACATGGCAGAACGGTGGGCACCTCAGAAGAAAGCAGTGGATGACCCCAGGAGTGGGTAGAACCAGCTGAGCAGGGGCTGCTTTGCCACCCAAGGGGTCCCTGGCACAGGCAGGATGTGCAGGTCTGAGCATGATGGTCCACCCTTTACAAGGCTCCAGCCAGCAGCATAGACACCCATGAGATGCCAGGCCAGACAGGAGGACTCAGATGGCTGGAGCTACCCTCTTCCAGCACAAGCAGCCTCCGGCACCACACAACACCCCATCCTCTCTCCCGCAATCCCACTTCTCCAGGCTGGGCGATGAGCTCCCGCGACCAGATGTCTGCAAACCCAGCAGCCCGAGGAGTGCTCCACGCAGCCTGATGGATCCTGCCCCATTAGTGAGGAGCGCTGGAATGTGCTGGATGGACTGGGATCCCTCAAAGATGTTAAATACGCCAGCTCTGGGCTGCCTCCCACTCACAGCCTGTGAGAGTTGACATCCCTGACTGAAGCCCCAGAGGTGTTGGCATCCTGCCTGTAATTATCTAAGCCCGCCACCTTCCCCCGTCAGAGAGGAAGCAATAAAACAGGGAAGTGGACAAGCCCAGCTGCTCTAATCAGCCCCGGCAGGATACAGGGACTCAAAGCCAAGCTGGAGGCTATTAGCACCCAGCGCTGTGCTTTTGCTCAGCCACACTGGCATTCCCGGGAGAGCCCTTCCCTGGCCCTGCCCCATGCAGACCAAATCCTGCCACGTGGGTGCGAGGGCTCCCCTAACCCGCACTGAGGGCAGCTCATTGCTGCCTCTGGTCTGGGGATGGATGGGGTCCTGCTCCCTTCCCAGCAGGTTCCCGATCTGCAGCAGAGTTGGGACATATGCCGCCACTTTTGGTGGGGTATTGTACCCCCAGTGGGAGCCGGGATGGCTGGTGCCTCTCGCTTGCCCCTGCACTGACCCCACTAGCCACCCTGCCATGCCTCCCTGCAGCAGGAGGACCATCCGCACATGTGGACGATTCCCAGCTTGTGCCAGAGGACTCTGCGTCTCCTCTCCTCCAGTTTTGCTGTGCCGACCCTCGCATCCCCTTTCCCAGGGCCTCTGAGTTGTTTACTCATCCTACGGTTTCTCCCTGCAGGAATTACAACATTAAGACACTGTGGTGACTGGTATGGTATGAAAACCTAGACAAGACAGACAGATGGACATCTCCTCTGGTCCCTTACTAGGTGTTCCGTATTTCTCCTGGGACTGACAGCTGAGTGGGCTGGTCACAGCTGTGGTCCCTGTATCAGCCAAGCAGAAGGACCTTGTGAAGCCCCCATCCCCTACCCACTTGCTAGAGATGCGAGCTGGGTCCCCCCGACCGGCGCGGAGAGGAGCGCTCACTGCAGGCTGTGCTAGCCAGGCAGAGCCGTGGGCCCTGACACAGCACGCCAGCAACAGCTGGGTTTTATAACACAGTCAAAACATGATCATCAAGGGAAAAAAACCCCAGTTGTTCATAATGATCATGATTCTCCACTAGTGAAAATAGCCCTAGAAATGCAACTGTCACAATCTCGCAAGCAACATTTTTAGGCACTGTGAGTGAGTAGGGCAAGATATTGCAGCAGGAGCCCCCTCCTGAGCAGGCATGGCACCAGAAGTGCTCAGGACAGTTTGGTACTGCCTGGCTGCTCCCTCCTCTCCTTATCCTCGGGAGCGAGTTTCAGAGAATACCTGCATTACATGCTGCTCCCTTCAGGAACAGACGGATGGGAGACTCAAGCCAGTCAGCTGCCTTAGAAAGGTTTGGCATGGCAGTGTGCGCCCCTGCCTTGTGCATCCAGCCCGTGTCCCAGCACACCTGCACAGCCCACGCTGCAGCCCGTGACCGCTCCCCTCCTGACCTGCCACACATCCCACCCTGGGGCCAGGCATTGTGCTCTCCCATCCCCTTCATGAGGGCTAGCTGCATTTAGGCTGGGAGTGCAGCCACTCCCTAGCAGCCACCCTCCACCCCTGCCCCACGCCAGCTCCCCTCGGAGCATGTCGGTGCTGAGGCCAGAGCCCTGGCCACGAGCCGTGCCAAGGCTGGGCATTGTGGGCACGGTGCCCCCTCACCCCTTGCAGACCCTTTGCACTCACGCACTTTCTGGATTTTCCTGATCTGGTCAGAGAGTGTGTCTAACAGGCGTGTTTTCAAGAAGTCCGTCACTTTGGCCACTCGGCCATCAATGTAGTAACTGGAAGGAAAATAAGAAGACAAGGATCAGCCAGTTGGGAGTAGCTCTGCCCCAAACCACATCCTCCCATCCTGCTGCTGCCCCATGCCAAGAAGATTCCTCTGCTTTGGGAGGGTCCCTACTTGCACCCTGCCCTGCCCTGGCCCTCTGGCTGTGCCTGTGCCTGGCAGATACTTTCAGTCTCCAAAACAGGGCGTGAGGTGGACGCACCCTGAACGCTGAGCATCCTGCACTGCAGAAACCACGGGAAGTTTTGCACTTTCTTAGCTATTGTTGGTGAAATGCTGTAAGCAGAATGCCAAAGGCTGGGAGCAAAAAGCCACCCACAAAGGCTTTGCGGCACCATCTGCACTGATCCCATGGAGACCCCACAGAAAGAGACCCTCCAACATGATGCCTGCGATAGCAGCACCTGGGCTCCACAACCTGGGATATCTTGGGTGATCTTCCATTAACCTGGCTTGTCCCACCCGTACCTATCCCCTGCCTCAGGGACACGCTGTTTTCAAAATGCAGATAAGCCAGTCAGTCCTTGGCCCGGTTTCATTTTTGCTGGAAAGATGGGTTTTATGGGGTAGCAAAACAGAAGATGCATCTCTAATGGCTGAAACAAAGGGCCCCTTAGCCACAGGAGGACGCTACGCAGAAGCCAGGGAGGAGAAGGGTCCTGAGCAGCAAACACCCTCTGAGACACACTGGAACTTGCTGCAGTAAACTTGGGAGGGGAGGGGGGAGGCTGCCCACGCTCTCAGCCACGGCAATAACTGCATTGCTCTGCCTGTGTCATGGGACACTCTCCATTCAATGGCTGGTCTGCAGGGGGGACTGTACAGAACCTCTTCTGCACTGAACCAGAATTGCTCGTGGATGTCCTGCTGCAATAACAACCCTCCAGGCTAAGCTCTGATGGTGTTTCTGAGCAAGGATTAGTGTCCGCAGGGTGCATGGGCTGAGGACCTACAGCACCACAGCAAGCCCTGCTCCCAGCATCCCTGCACCACCTGCACCTTCCTTGCTTGCTCTTCCAGCAGAATCCACAGCTGAAGAAATCCCCCACTCATGAAATGCCGTGGCCATTGCCTGCAGGGGAAGTCCTGTTCTCAAAGGAATCCCTTCTGCCCTGGGAATGCCAGGGAGTGTTTCCCATACAGAGGGCTGATTCCTGTTCTCTATGTGCTTGCTTATACACAACACAGCTATGGTGCTGCCAATCATGATGTGAATTGTCTAAGTGTGGGAGGAAGGCTCTGAAACGCCTCAATACTGTCTCCTGGCTCCAGGACGTAAGGTGAAGCAGTCTGTCCTGGAGTGCAAACACCCTGTGCCTGGAGGTAATCCCAACCAGCTTCTCCTGAGGAAGTGTCTGGGGCTGGCAGCTCTGTCCCCATGCAAGAGCAGTGACAGCCCTTGCACATCTCCCAAAGGCTCCTCCCAGCCTTGCAGGTGCACCAGGACGTCTGCTGCAGCATGCACTGGCATACCCCTGGGACAGCCATTGGGCTAATGAATAGGTTCTGCAAGAGAAACTTTCTGAACTTCCTCCTCCCAAATCTGCAGCGTGCATCAGCCACTTGACACAGCGAGCCCCGGAGAGTGTCGGAGCCGTGCTGGGAGGGTCGGAGGTGCACAGGAATTACAGCAGCTCTGGCTGGGGCTGGCAGGGCTCAGCCACTGCATCCCACCCCTCACCGGAGCCTTGTCCACTTGGCGTTCACCAGTTACAGAGACCCTTCTCCCTCTCCACAGATTTCAGTGCAGTGATGGTGCTGAGATGCACAACGGGCTGAAGACCTGAGGTCTGAAGAAAAGTGGATTCACGTTTCCAGGGATGATTTCTCCATAACATGCATCTCATCTGCACCAGTGAGCAGCAGTAGCAGCTGTAGTGGTTGCTTCGCTTGGGTGCTGGAATACAGGAGCATCCCCAAAGGATGTCATGAGCTAACTCAGCCTCAGCCAGAGCACCCGGCACATGTGCAACATGCATGAGTGCTCAAAAAGGATTTTAGTCTTTCACTGCTACAGGTCACTACCCAGGTAACAGCATAAATGCACTGCTTCTAAATCACCTAAGAAGCCTAAGCCTAAGCTGTGCAGGGCTGCAGTGGAGGGTGAGCAACACCAGCACTAACAGAAATGCGTTACAGGCTCAACTTGCAAATGCATTAAACAAGAACAATCTCCTCTGTCAACCCTCCCCCAGGTGTGCAGCCCCAGCTGTGTCCCCAGCAAAGTGTGGAATCGTGCCAGTCGCACCCCAATTTCACTCCAGTGTAGTGTAACCCGGGGAAGGAGGCAAGAGGCATTTCTGTATCTCTGTGGAAGATGCTAAGGGCAGAGACTATCTCCGGGGGGGGGGCGGAACTTAGAAAGTGTTCAAAATCATTCCGACCACTTATACACTATTGAACCACTGTCTGCCAGGAGGAGAGCAGATCTGTAAGCAGCAGGCAGTGGTGGGGTTTACAGAGATTACTTTTTAAGACAAAATTACAAAGCAATGGACTCTGGGGATGGCAGATGTTTGGATTTTAGCACAGCACTTAAGAACAGAACAGAAATGATTTTTTCAGACTGCTGTGGACTAAAAACCCCATCACCTGGTCTGAAAACTGACTGAAAGGCCATAAAAAGAAAGTTACATTGACTGGGAAACGATGGAGTTAGAGAGACTCATCTGCGTATGCCCCCTCTAATGCAGCAGGCTTTCTGCCAGGTTCAGATTGTCTGCACAAGCCAATACGGTCCCAGAGTCCAGAATAAACCCCTTGGAAAGCAAACACAGGCTTGTGCCTCCTCATCATCTCATTCAAGCACAAGGTGTGCTCTGATCTACAGCTTCACTGCCAGGTGAGAGAAACAACTCTCCAGAGCAGCCTCAGATAAGGCTCTGCTCTCCCAGGGATGGTGCAGAGGAGGCAGCCTGGGAAGGTGCTGCTGTGCTGAGCACAGCTGAGACCCTGAAGGAAAGAGAAGCGCCTTGGGACAGTGCCACAGGACAGTGCTACTGTCACATTTTTTTTTTGACACCTTCGTTAACAAGCCAGAGAAATGGGGACTGGTAGAGGGATGAAAGGCAAAAATAAACCTGCTTCAGTATCAGGAAATCTTGTTGGCAGCATGTCTTCTGAGGGAGCAGGGAGGGGAGAACCTCGGCTTTGGGTATTTAAGCAGAGCACGAAGACAATTACAAGCTTCTGTAAGATGGGCTAGGACCTCTTGCAGTTCTGCCTGGGAAGTTCTTGGACACCAACAGGTACTTTCAATCTCCCCAGACTGGGAAAGAGGGAAAATGGCACCAGCTGCACCAGGCTTGTGAGGAAGAGAGAGGAGCTGAAATCTTCACTGGTACCAGGCTACTCAGGAACAGGTGAGCCGTTTCCAGCTGTAGGTTTTGTCATTGAGACAAGGGAACTTCCTTTTGAGAACTTTAACTGTCAGTAAATGTAGTATAGAAATCTGCAAAACGCAAACAACTGACAGGCCTTTAAAGCAGGAGAAGCGCTCGTTAGGCGTGGATTATTCCCAGGAGCAAAAGGTGCAGCTTTGCTGATATTTACAATGACTCAGTGCACTTGACTTTAAAAAAAACCAAAAAACAAAAAACAAACCCAACCCCAACCCTCCAACTTTAAAAAAGCCAGCAGCAGCTGCAGAGAGCTCCAGCGCTGACAACTACCTCCCCAGGCAGCAGTATGGTGCACAAGCAGCCAGGTCGAGCCAGCTCGAGGGGCCGTGGCACCCACATCCTCCTCTCCTGGGCCAGCGAGGTCTGAGTGCCAAAGGAGACGAACGTACAGACCCTTCCCAGCGCAGGAAGGGGTCTCTGGCAGACATGACTCTGCAAAGGCAGAGGACGTGTAGCTCATGGCTGGCAGATCTTCCAGTGGGCTCTGGGTCTGACACAGCACCAGAGTTGGCCCTGAAGCCTAGGAGATACCAGCATGCTCACCATCAGCACAGACCATGCTGTTTCTCATAGCACAGGAGAGAATAGATATGGGCAATTACATGCAGAGCTGGCTCAAGTACCCCAGTTTGATTCCACTGTCTCTGTAGACAGACAATTTGCAGGATCATGAGAAGAGCCAGCCAAGGAAAAGAGGGATCTAACAACTAAATCCTAGATGAGGCATACATCTCAGAGGAAAGGCCATGTACAGCCCCTTTGGGTGCCCTATTATACCATATAAAGCTGAGGCCAGTTTTCCCCCTTCCATTTCACTAACCCATTTCTAAAAACCCCATTTGAATGGGGTCAGATGTCACCTAGAAACCCAGGATGGGATCAGGGCACTTTTCAAAGGGACCTGTGACTGCATCACAGGTGGCCACACCAGAGCATGGCACAGGGAGGAGGACTTGGCCAAGGGTTGGGCAAGGATTTTTGCCAGTGCTAGGAAATGCACCACCCCAATTCCTGGTCCCCATCCCTGGCTGGAACTGTAGCACGAGACTTGAGACACAAAGACAAGAGCTGGGAACAGAACCAAAACAGGTCTGAGCAGAGCTGCCAGTCAGAAATGCCGTTGTTCTTGGGCAGGCTGCAAGGCTCCCCAGTGCCTCCCAGAGAAGGACAGTGCCAGGCACGAGAGCACTTGGGTGAACTTGGGGATGGCTACATGTCCCTATTGTGTCACCTCCACGTCTTCTGCTGCCTTTAAAATAGTTTTCTGGAAAGATACACAATTTGCTGCGTGGGACCATGAGCACTGTCCCATGTTTAATGAAGGCAGTGCACTGGCTCCTGGGCAGCTGGTTTCATTTACCTCCTCTTTCATTTTAAAGAGAAACCTTTGCCCCTATTATCTGACCTCTTCTTCTGTTGCAGCTAATTATATTAAAGCCCACTTCCCAAAGCTCAGGAATTTCCGGATCTACTTTGTTGCCTGCTGCTATGGGGAGGGTCTGCTAGGAATTAGGACACCCGCCTGCCGGGGATGCTGAGCGGGGCAGATCCCTGCTGTCAGCATGACACTCTGCCGCCACCTCAGCTGTGAAACCGAGACACCTCTGCTGACAGAGGTGGCCCTGGTCCCTGAGCATCTTCCCGAGGAGAGGGCAGAGCCTCTGTCTGCAGCACAGGACACAGGGCAGCCCCGCTGCTCCCTGGGGAGAGGAGAGGTGGGACGCAACCTGCTCCCCCAAGGTAAAGACCTGTGGGCACAGGGGAGAGGGGCTGCCCACCTCCAGTCAATTAATAAATGCACTAATAAAGAGTGAACGAATAGGAGCTGCTCTCTGATCCCAAAGGCGCAACTTGCACCCATGCCTTTCTCTGCACCCCGACAACATGCCTCTCTGTCTGTGCCACCGGTGGGAGCCATCTCTGGCCCATGCCATATCCCCAGCCATGCCCTGGCAGCACCTGGGACTGTGCTGGTGGCCAGGGCCACAATGCTGCCAGGGACTGTGCCCTCTGTGAGACAGTGCAGAGGATGGCGAGGCAGGGGGCAAAGCCGTGCCCCAGCCAGGTTTATTTACAGGTGGAGACGGGCCATGCAACCCCCTCCTCTACGCACAACCTCTGAAGGCACTGTGCTCTGAGCACTTGCAGCAGGCTCATGCAGCCCAAATATATACCCTTGATATATACATCTGGCTGCGTATGCATGCTGGGCAACTCTCCACTGGCATGTTTGGGAAATCTGCCCCCTGATACTGTGTCATGAGCATCTCCACCTGCACACTCAACATGTTGAAGCCAGAAGAGATGTCACCGAAACCAAGCCCAGCAAAAGCGTTTTAAGCAGCATCTCACACATGCCTGTGTGCCTGGCATCTCTGATTCGTCACATAGAGCAAGTGACTTTCCATCTTGGAAGATAACGAGGCATTTTCCAAGGAGCCACAGGGATACATGTCCACTCGCTTTGGAGAGGAAACATTTACTTTCCCTGTAAGTAATAGGGATTTGTGTTTCAGAGGCACCATTGCATAAGGATTTGCCCATTAAATATGCCAAACTTGGAGTTGTGCACGAGACACTGGATGGAAAACCAGCCATACAGACTAAGAGAGCATGCCTAGGGATGGAACTGGTCTCAGCTGCAGGTTTAAGTGGGCAACGAATCTTCACCATGTGTGAGGACGCCAGTGCCGAGCAGAGAGACGGCTGTGGGGAGGTTTCTGAGCAGTGGAAACCCACATCCAAAGGCTGAGGGGGTCTGCAATAAACCGAGCATTTACTCATAACCAAACATAACAAACTAAGTTATCAGGGAACTGCCAAAACTCTCAGAGCCACTGTCAGTCCCTCCTGCCACACCCTCCTTTAGTGGAAATTCCCTGAGCATTTTGAAGCCATTCACACATCCCCTTCCAGCAACACATTACTTCTGAAGAGGGAGGCACACATGCTGAGTTACATATGTAAGTGAAACCATACTCAGAAAGGCTGGCAAGCCTGCTTATTTCCACCCAGTGTCACATTTCTGTCAGATATATTTCAGATATATTCAGTTTTCACACAGAGAATAGGGATCTCTGCAATGTATTCCCTTCTCAATTCCCTTTCTGGATCGAGCACAGCCTTTTCAAAGGAGTAACAGATTTGACAAATTTATAACCGATATCCCAGGAGAACGTTAGGGTTTGGAACAGAGATATTCATACTTGAAGTTAGACAGCAGTTTAGTTTCCTGCTAATAATTTTCTTCTTGGATACAAAGGAACTTGTTTTGTTTTGTTTTGCTGTTTGGAGCAGAGGGATGAGACACTGTTTTGACATTTATTCATAAACAGTACAGAAGCCCAGCTCTGAGCTGTGGCCATTGCCAGTCCTTGCAAATGCACGTGGATGCGATCTCCAGCGCTGCAAGCCTGGGCTGGGGGAGAAGCGGCTCCTACACGGCAGTGGAAATGGGTCAGCAAGCACAGACTCAGCTCTGCCGACGCTCACGGGGAGCTGCACCAGCCCTCCTGCTTGCAGGTTGCCGCTTCAGCGCAGCTGCTCAGCACCAGAGCTGCCGAGCACTTTGCTCTGATCCTATAAGAGAAGGTTTCAAAGCAGCGGTGTGGGCAGATTCCCTGCACACCAGGATGAAACTCCACATCTGAAGCCTGGAAGTTTGTTCCTTCAATTCATCCAAGGGATTGGCCCAGTGATCAAGCCCCGTTGCAGAAAGCAAATTCCTGGACTAAGTAAATGTGATCAGCACATCGTGTAATCGTGAAAAGCAAACTCCCAGCTGAGACATAGATCATCATTGCACAGCATGATCCTGTAAGTAACACAAATCCTGCTCCAAATGCTCTGCTACACCACTACCCCCATTGCAGCAAGCTGCTGTTACCTGGGAGGGAAGCCCCAGGAGCCAAACACCAAAGCAAGCAACACGTGGCACAGCGAGGCAAGCTAAGCTCTGTGAGGAACGTGACTTGCTGGATGCTGGTCACGCCTGCTGCTATAAACCACTCTGAGATGCCAACAGTTGCTTCTGCACATCAACACAGAGGCTGCGGGTGCACTTGAAAGAAAACCTCCTGTCTTAAAATTCACCAAACTCTTTTTAAGAGCAGGTCTGCAGAAGGGCTTTACAAGAGCAACCTGAGCACCCCACGAAGGGTCTCTGTGAAGGACCTGCTTGGGGAACAAGCCCTGTGGGCAGCACACACAAGACCACCTTGGACCTGAGACCCTGGCTCCTGTGCTCAACGCCAGCGCCCCTCGCAGGAAGATTAACCCAGCGTCAGAGCAAATCCACTTTTTCTGGGAACAGGGTGGGTCTCATCATGGTGTTTGCTCCAGTGAATGCCTGTCTCTGAAAGGCGTCCTTTCTGTGCCTGCCCCACAAACCCTTTTCCTGTCAATTTTGGCAGTCGCTGCTGTGCTTGCACACTGCCTCACCTTTGCACTGGCATTTGCACTCCCACTGCAGAGAGCCATAGCCTGCTGGGGAGTCTGCCTCCGGCCACAGTGTGCAAACTGGGGCAGTTGTAATTAAGAGGAGGAAGAAGATGTTTATGGATTTTACCCCAAATAAAATCTTTCCCTCCACTTGGTGCTTATCACACTCAGTGCCACAGCTCAGAGCTTGCTTTGCTCTTCTGAACTGCAGCATGTGTAGGAAGCAGGAGGAAAACCAGGTATCAGCACCTCTCTGGCAGCACCAGCTGGGCCTGGATCTTGGATGCTCGCCTCCTTTCCATCGACATCTGCTCCTGGGGCTCCATCTGCAGTGTAGGACAGTGGCATGTCTACGGACATCTCAGACCCTTACAAAATGGAGCGGGGACTGGGGCATTATGTATTTACCATTGGACTAAGCTGCCTCTCCCTCCTCTGGGGCAAACCAGTTCAGCTTCAGGCCAGCAGTCATGGGGAGACAGTGATTGTGGTGAAGGGAACAGGGCTTTCAGATAGTCCCATACATCTGTCACATGTGGTTTTTGCTTCCCTCCCGTCCCCATCCCGACCACCACTGGAGCTGCCTCCTAGGATTCAGTGGTCCAGCGCAGGGCTTTGTTTCCAGCAATCAGGCAGGCCAGGCATGCAGGCAGCAGTATTTTTAGCCTCTGTCTCAGCTGCAGTGGTAAAGGTTAATACATCCCCCCTCCTGTATTTGTTTGAGAGGCTCCAGAAGGAGGTGCAGAGCCTTTTTCGCCTATTTAAACACAGCAGGAGGACAGAGGAGGTGGCTGTCACACGTCTGCCCCCTTTCACACCCAGACAGTGCATCAGCTCTTCTCCCAGCATCCTCTGATCACTGCAATTAGTGTTGGAAGTGGAAGGAATGGTGAATACCTACTGTTGCCAGGTAACGGCATCCACTGTGCTGCCAGCCACTTTCATGAACCTATAGGAAACAGGAAGAAACCACATAAGCCCAATATTGTCACAGGGGAAGTCCTAAAACAACAGATGCCCATCTGACATCACAAGATACCAAAGGCGGTCACCACACTCACAAACCCTTTCTAATAAAACCTTTGCATCCTTAAAAGGAAGGGATAAATTACACTTAATACAAATGCTTGTAGCAAGCACAGCTGAGAATAATAGAGTGAAACCCAACTGGCAGCAGAGCTCTGAGCATCATTTTGGGGCAGGTAGGGAGAGCTTTCAGATCACAATAGCATTTCAGGAACAAGATCTTGGGGTATGTACTTAGTTCTATGACTGCAACAACTCTCAATAGTGATTAAAGAAAATGCCTGTCTTAAAAGGAGACACTTCTTCACCCAACATGTGTTTAAGCTGAGGAATTCTTTGCCTAGATTCAAGCAAGGACTGGAAAAATGGAAGAAAATAGAAAGAAAACCCAGCAAAGCCATTAGATGCAAAGACAACACCTCCAGCTCAGGAAGCCCTGGAGCATTGGAGGATGGGAGGAAAGGCTGGGACAAATACTACCACATGCTTCCCTTTTTTTGATGCTCCTTCTTTGGTACTGGCTGTTAGAAAACTGATGGGATTCAGACCTGGGTGCACTTTTGGTTCGTCACATTCCTATGACTAACCACAGCACTTCCGTGCACAAGGTGATATATATGCATTAGTCTCCTGATTGCTTGTGACCCAACTATCTTAAAGAAAATACATCTCTTCCAGGCAGTGCCTATTTGAGCCAGACTTGAGGCTACATAGGTGTATCTGTTTACACTGCTGAATGCCAAAGCCAAAGCAATTCCTGATCTTGGGGACTGTATGCAACCACCGCAGCAGCAGCCTCCAGCAGAGGCTTGCTGCCATCCAGGATGGTCCCTCCCTGACTCCCTGGTCACAATCCAAACCGCACCTTGGAAAACTGCAGTTCCTAGGAGAAAGCCCAAGCAGTTACTGTATTATTATGCTTAGGGGCACAGATATGAAAACCATAAAGGCACACACCAACTGGTCAGGCATGCTTTTCTGCTCAGCAGTGTAACGTGCACTGAGTAGCTGCTGATGCATTTTGGAAGTGATAATGTAGGCCCATGACAGGAGACATTGGCTTGAGCAAGAAACATGATGAGAAAGAAACTGATGCTGTATTGTCTCGGGCAGCTCTTTGATGCACGGGGATCCTGGGAACACAACAGGAATCACACAGCTGTCCTGACTCCAGCGGGGCACGGGGATGAATGGCACTGGGTCCTGCAAACCCAACTCCCTCAGGACAGTTCCATGACTGAGGGTTGGAAAGGAAAGGGAAGGTTTGTGAGGAGAGATGAGACCTTTTATCAGACTAGTCATCATGGTAGGGACAAGCAGCAAGCTTTCCGGCACACGAGCCTCTAATCAGGTCTGAAACAAAAGCAGCAAGCTTCAGGCTAAATATAGCTCGGAAACAATCATTCTGACTTTAAATTAATGACGATGGTCAATTATAGACTGGGACAAAAGGGCAGCTGGACCCCATGAAGCATAAGAGGACACTGGCAAAGGCAGCAGCAATAAATCCCTGCAGACAGAGAGGGAAGAGATACAATTAGAAATGGAAAAACAATAACATGCTGTAAAACCCTGCAGCACTGATGCATCCCTGATTCTGCTGCCTAGCAGTGCTGTGAGCTTTAGTTCCCAGGCTCACCTTTCAGAAATGCTTTTAAATCTCTCTTGAGAGTCAGGCCCAGGAGATCAGTGCCAGGGCGGTGGTTTGGGGATGGTTCCTCCCCAGCTGAGCAGAGTGAGGAGATCAGCTGGACCAGCCCTGGTGCAGCCAGAGGGAGAGGTGCAAGCTCTCCGCAACTCACACTGGTCATCTGGTGAAAATGGGATTTTGCAAATATTGATATGGAGGGGCTGCTGTTCTACAAAACTAAGTGTGCAGAAACATGCCAAAACAATCCAAAAACCCGACTCCCAGGTTTTAAATGCTCAGTACAGGGATTGCTACCTAAAAGGTAACACATAAAGTGTACAAGAGTGAACTAATGAATTCTAAACTGAAATTATGAACACAATCTATATTTGGTTTGAAGATCCATATATTACAATTGGGTTGGAAGATTAGCCCAGCTTGCTTTCTAACCTCAAATGCTTTGTGTTCTGGTCGCAAAACAAACCATCCCAGACTTTACTAAACTACCTCCTCAGGTTCAGCCTGGCACTCTCCACTCACAGTCCAAAACCATGAGCAGACTGAGCTTGGAGAAAGAAGATCTTGAGTTTTCCTTGCCAATTCCACAGTGTCTACAGCCCTACTGCAAACACATCCGCTACAGCCGTCTTTGAGCAGGCACTGAAAAGCAAAGCAAGCCCTCGGTATAACCTCCAGCATCCCTGGAGCAGCAGAATCAGGACATTTGTCTGTCCCATCTCCTGCGTCTCTCAGAAGCTAATTGACCTGTTGTTAAACAGCGACTGAGAATATTTTGTTCTAGGACACAGGCATCACTCAGGCAACACAGTGCAGACCAAAAGCAGGACAGAAAAGTTCTTGGCTTGCTTAGTGTTCCTCTTCTGTCTCCGTAAAAGCAAAATGAATCGGTTAGTTCTGCGCATTTTCAAATTTTACCATAAAAGATGCATATCTAGCTCAAAATTTGCTTTCCATGTCTGTTTTTTGTTTTGTTTTGGTTTGGTTTTTTCCTTTCTTTCTCCTTTTATTGAGATTTTTGCAGGATGAAGGGCGAAAGTTCCTGGTAAAACTTCAAGTCCTGCCTTAATGGTGGAGTTGTGCCTGGAGCACCCCAGATGACTTGGGCAACGGTCTCTACCCTCCAAAGGGAACCTAGAGCAGCTCAACAGCAAACAAGTGGTACTGCATGAGCAAGAGATGAAAACCCAGGGCAGGTGGAGACGCAGTGATGAACAGGTATCTGAATATCCTTGTCTTAGGAATACAGATGTCACTAATCCCTTTATTCCTGTAGCACCTGTGCTGCTCAAACCGCAGATTTTGAGGCCAGCGAGGATCCATACTGTCCAAATGACCAGCACTGGCACATTTTTATCTGGACTGTGCGATGTCCATGTGTGCAGCACGGCGCAGGCAGAGCAAACCAGACGTTTCCGGGAGGGCTCAGATCGCTGCACATGTGCTGCACAGATGGGCTGGGCTGGTGCAGTAAATCTGCCATTTTCCTATGCATTGGGCTTTCTCTGTGAGCATCAATCGACCATGCAGCGCATGTGCTGTAAAGCCCCTCCAGGAGCAGTGGGACAGGCTTAGCCCACACTGTGCAGGCAGTGGGGGCAACTACTGTAGTGATGCCCTGTGATTCAGATGAGTAGCAGACCCAGGGCATGCATGTGCCGTATCCCTAGCTGGACTTCCACATATCAGAAACCTGGGCAAATGTAAAAGTCCTCAAAATCTGCTGGGGCAGCACCTCTAGGTGAGAAAGCAGAACACATCAGAGGTGCATGGATGAACAGGAGATTCGGGCAGGGAGTTTGTGATACTGAGGATGAGACAAAGCCACTAGCTCAGGTATGTCCATCTCCTTACCCTTGCAGCTGCCTGTATGCCAGCATCCCATGCCAGCGTTACTATCTGTGGGGCCCTGCATTGAGCTAGAACTGAAGCTCAAGCTTGTTTTTAAATAAGTACTGAGAAAAATGTAGTTTAACATTGCTTAGTCACCCAAACAGTTCACAGCTCTGTCCCAGAAATGGTAATACTAGCATAACGTGGGACAGCACCTCACAGGTCAGGAATGAGCTGTGGGAGACTGGGGCAGGAGGGCTGCAACACCATGAGATGGTACCGACACCAAAACTCTGTATTGTGAAAGCATGGCTCAAATCTGACCTCTCTCAGAACATCTCCCACAGTCACATCTCCCAGGGCCACAACTTTCACTAGAGTGTGGGTACATCTCTGAAATACATGTTCAGTGAATGATTCAATACTTGCCAGTCATGGAGCACCTACTGCAACCTTAAGAAAATTGCTCCCATGGTTAATTAGCTTCCGAGTATGTTATTTCTCAACTGAATGTGTCTGGCTTCAGCTTCCAGCCACTGGAACTTTGTAAGCTAATTCCTGATACATTAAAGAGCCATCTGCATTTGGAAATCTCTTTCCCATGCAGGTAATTGCAGATTGTCATCCTTTAAATAATAATAAAAAAATGATCCTGTAACAAAGAATGCAGCTGCACAAGGAGACCAGTTACCATTGCACAGGCTCCCAGGTGGTTTAGCATCATCTCACACCTGGGTGCTGGACTTCACAAACAAGGGTTATTTCATCTGTTACTCTCCAGGGTACTACAAAAGCAAACTGACACACACACTCCACCCCCCACCAAGCCCCAAATATAGAAGCAATACTGGTCTGGCTGTGGTACTGTGGTGGATCCCTAGCGCTGGGTGACAGATCTCTTCCCTTTGAGCCAACAGTGATGGGTAAAACCAGCTTTATCTTGTGTCTGAATTGATTGGTGAGGGGGACTAAGGCACAGGCTTCACTTACTAACTGCTTCAGGTTCCAGTAGCACAATCAAATACCTGCAGCAGCAGAGACAGCTACTACACCCAACTCATGTCACCTGCTGCAAAGACTTTGGCCTGCAGTGCCAGATTTCAGACAGGGATTTCACTCTGGGCAGCAGAGCCTGGTGGGGACTATGTATATATCTGCTGCTATATTGTATTCTCTCTGCTCAGCGTCATATTTCTTCAACCAACCTGATCTACAGTAGGGCTGTGCAAGCCTTCTAGCAAAGATGGCTTTATGTCCCAGACTGACCCACCCAGCCTTGGTAACCTGCACTCCAGGGACTATGGAGGTTGCATATGGACCATGATGTTGCATCACCACTGATGCTTTTTCCCACCATTGATTTGTCCAGTCACCTCTCTGAACACACACCTCTAGCCTCCACAGTACCCTGTGACAACGTCTTCTACAATACCATGTGAAAA